AGGCGTCAGCAAAAGGACCTTCACATCTAATGTGTTTCTGCAGCCTATTAGCATTCTTAAAGTCTATTTGTATGCAAACACATGTGTGCTTATACATTCAGGCTAAATACACACTCATACACACATAATGGCCACTGATGGATAGATGTCCTAGGACGATGTAATGGTACAATAATTATGGTGTCAGCCTGAGCTGACCAACTGATGACAGTGCAGTCCCATCTATGTTGCAGAAATGCAGCAATTAACAAGCAATTTGTCTTGTAGAATGAAGATAATTCAAGTGAAATAATAAGTAGGAAGAGAAGCTGTACAAATGATTCCATCTGCATTCTGCTGACCTAACTGAAGCTTAAAAACATCTCAAAACACATAAAGATAAACATTATTTGTCACAGTGTTAAAAACTGAAATTACACTCCAGAAAACAAAACAAAAAAACAAGTGATTTAAAATCCCTTATGAAACAGATGTCTGCGGTGAAGAATATGATTCAATTTTCTGTCACTATATTCTTGCTAAAAGACCGAACGCTACACTACTTCCACAGGCAGACCTTTTGTTGGTGAGTCATGGATCATTTTATCCATCTTTGTTTGAGAAACAGACCTCAGGATAGGGCTGGGCCATATCATACCGTTCACGGTAATACCGGTATAATGTTGGGCAACGATAAGAAAATGAAATATCGCAATAGAATATGGGTAAAATGCACATGCGCAGTGCCCTTGTTTTCATATGCACATGGCGGAAAAAGCATGGCAGCGACGGAGAATGAGAAGGGCGAAAGTGGACCGTTGAATGAAACTGATGAATCAGAATTGGTTTGTAAAAATGCTGCAACTTCAGTGGTGTGGAACTGGTTTAGCGTTCGTCCGTCAGATACACAACAAAGCACTATTTTTGGTAGAGCATGCTAGCGGGCCGTCGTTATTACAGTGTTTTTTGGAAAATACGGCACACTTAAAATCAATCCTTTGATTTTAAGAAAACCGGCAGTGCCCCTTATAATCCTGTGCGCCTTATGTATGAATTCTTGTTGTGTTTACTGACCTCGAAACGATTTTATGTCGTACACGGCGCTCGAAAATATGTCAAATGTTTTAGTACGACTTTGCTAAGCTACGAACCCGCACCGCTTGATGGATTGTCGGAGCATTACAGCTATCATAGGCAGGAGCCTGGCTGAGTGATACGTACTGTGCTTCAACATAATATTACCGTATTGTGTGTGTATAACTTCTTTTCAAGTGTTGTGGATATTATACATAGTTATGCTGAGGATATGTCAGCCAATTTCCACTGGAAATGCCTTCTGGTTAAACTGTCAGCAAGGAATTTGCATTTGCACCGTTAAATTTTTATATAACTTTAATGCACATAAAAAACAGCTGCTTGTTTAAGTGAAAATCATTGATGTTTTGTTTTTTTTGCACTAATACAGTTGTGGAGTTGTAAAGTATTTTGTCTCGTGTCAATTATATCGTCAATTATATCGTTATTGCAAATTTTCAAATGTATATCGTGATAAGTATTTTTGGTCATATCGCCCTGCTCTACCTCAGGAACTCATTCCACTGGTTTTATTTCTTCTCAGTCATCACCAGTGAAGACTTAAAGGACCCTGATGCTTTATATATATTTTGTTGTTTTCTCAGCAGGTCTTTGCAATCAGGGAAGGAAAACAAAAAGAAAAAAAGGACACAGTTCTTTTGTTGTGTTTTTGAACAAACCACCATAAAATAAGCTGCAAGTAAAGTTCTGCTTCATAATTCAACAATGTGGACTATAACATTTACCTCCCCATGCTGATGTCTTCAGTGCGGTGGCTAAAGATTAATCCCACTAAAGAGCCTTGAGGTCAAAGCACTGCAAAGGTCAGTGCTCGAAAATATCAACACATATCTCCACATTGATTTTTTAAATGGTTGCTATGCACTACTTGCTTATTGGCCACAGAAAGTGGCTTCAGCACCTGATTTTCCAAGCTATTTTCCAGTTTGGAAACAGAGGAGGCAAAACAGCGGCAGAAAGAAAACTGAAAGACAAGGGGGGAAAAAAGAAACTAAAACAGGCCATAAAGCCAAGTTCACCTAATAAAAGCCCACATTAGATTAGAGATTCCTGCTTTAGGTGCCGGCAGCAAATCAGATAGTTTAAACACCAGGATTGTTGTACTCTTTTAGCTGTCTCAATAGAGGAGTATAGATCACACTTCTCATTAGTGTACCTATCATGGTGTAATTAGTCCCCTTTCCTGAGTCAAAATTGAATTTCCTCTTTGCTTTCCTGACCTTAGTTCATTGAAGCAATAAAGGCCCATATAGCCCCGAAGCCTGTGGGCTTTGTTTCCCGTTTTGCACCACAACGTGACTCTCCTTGTATCGACCCGCACACAGATCCCAGCCTCACCTGACTCGGTGAACCATGCAAAGAGTACCCACTAATGGAGTGGCATCAATAACAGCAGATACAGACTTACAGACACTAAAAGTGTTTGACCTGCTCTCTCTCATTCACGCTACACAGAAAAGTAGAACACACTGATTTCTCAGAAAGCAAAATCCAGTTTGGGCTGGTCTCACAGATCTTTGTATAAGGCATAAACAACAAACCTAGTTGTTTGTGCATAAATGTAATCAAACCAGCATCAAATGATAAAAATAAAGTTAATAGATGACTTCTGTGTAATGTAATTATGGCCTAATTAAGTTTTACAGCTCCACCAGATTACAGATTTAACAGATTACTCACACATACAAGGACCTCATTATGTTACCACTGATCGATACAGTGGTTAGCTCTAACGCCTCGCAGCAAGCAGGTCCTGGGTTCTACTCCTGACTGGGGCCTTTCTGTGTGGAGTTCGCTTATTTCCCTGTGCCTGAGTGGATTCTCTGAGGTACTCCAACTTCTTCCCACAGTGCAAAGACATGCATGCTAGGTTACCTGTTAGTTTTAAATAAGTCCTAGGTGTGAATGTGAGCGTGACTCTGTCTCTGAGTTAGCCCTGACAAGCTGTCAAGGATGGACTGTGCCTCGGCTCCAGCCTTCCCACTCCCCATCCCACCCGTATAAGCCTGAACTGGACAATCAATTAACAAAATGGATGAATATAAGTCCCATTAGCCATAGTGAAATGAATGGTTTCCACTTTCATTAACTTTTGTATTACGGTGTTATTCATGTGAAACAGCTCCAATATTATCCTTAGCCTCACTCTGTAGTTTTGGAGAGCAGAGAAGCCTTTGATTCACTCCATGTGAAACAGCATTAGGCAAATGACCTAAATAGACCTGAGGCAAAGTTGTGGACTATGTGGATAAAATCAGGCTGGTTGGATGGCAACGATGGGGTGGGGTGGTTAGACGAGTGGTCTGATGTGCCAGTCCTCTGCCCTGCTCAGAGTGTGAGGTGGGATGAAAGGTTTGTGTGCCACAGAAACCCAGCGGCTCTGACAAGGTGGAGTTTTCATCCATTACTAAAGCAAAGAGGCTGTTAAACGGCACGTCACGTCTCCTGATGCTAGCATCCCCGTGGAGGTGTTCTGGCAGAGCTGGCCAACAGGGGGAATTAATTCTAGGACATGCACCATGTAAGCCCCATTAATTCACAGCGGCTGCCAAAGGTCCATGTGGAATCCCACACAGTGTGCAGTCCTAAAACTGCTTTAAGTCACGTAATCTGAGAAAAGGAGAATCCCCCAGAATAATAAACAAATACACAGATAGTTGTTAATTTGAGGTCAGAAGGGAAAACAAAGTTTACGCCTTACAATTCACAAGTACATCGTTACCCCTGAATTCAATGTCATGACACAAGCACGTGTTATTGTTACAGAGCTTTAAGTCTGAGCTTTCAGTCAACATAAATCTAAGCTTCCTATGACTTAACACTATGTTACCCCTTTCCCTAAAGACGGGAGAGGGATGCTTCCCATTAGACTGTAGCAAATATTTCTCTGTTTATTTTTCTAATAATTCAGTTACTCTACAGTCTTTCCGGATGTTTCCAGGACAAAGTTCCCTTTAACTACACGTTTCTGCTGCTGTGTCTTTCTTTAATGTGTTTTAGAAATTTAAAACAGGTAAAGATGTAAAAGTGTGACATCTCCAGTATCCCCAGTGAGATGGAACTCTACAGGGAGCAGCCAAATAAAAAACCAACCCTGCTTCCTGTAAATTAGCCAAGTATAGAGATTAAAGCTGTTTTATTTGGCAGACAGTAAACACGTTAATTTCATCCCTACAGTTAATATGGAGCCAGCCTGAAGGGGTTTTTTAGAAATGTATTTTTTTTTCTGCATAGGAGGTTGTCGTTTGTTTAAACTGGTAATGATGGTAGTTTGAAGCAGGAAACAGGCGATGTCATGAATCTCATGATGCCATATATCTTAACAGGAATATATTTTGTGGTAATGTAAACAGGATATGTGTGGATATAGATTATAAAAAGCCGTGGTAAGGTTCAGCCATGAGGACTTATTGTCTAGAGCTATATTTCTCTTGTAACTGGCTGCAGTTTTTTGCAGATTTGGGAAAAAGAGAGATGTACGTTCCCACAACTAAATACAAAAACCAAGTTCAGCCCACAATTTTAAATTGACACTCTGCCCAGTCAGCCAGACTGATTAACTGGTTGACTGTAGCACACAAGTGTTTAAGATCCACACTTTAAGCTGAACATCAATAAGTTAGCAACAACCTAAAAGACAAACAAGGCTAAATTAGAGAGTTAATTCCCATAATAGACTGTCCTTTAATTTGTTGACTGAAATTAATTCAGAGAAAAATCTCACTGCTTGCCTCCAGCAAAAGTTCAGCAATGGTGCTCACTGCAACATTCTTATTATCAGTGTAGCATGTCTGGTTCTTTGTTGAGAAGTAGAAAGAAAAATGCAAGTGAAAGCAAAGAAAACAACATGTTGGCTTTTGCCAGAGCAGCATAAGTAGTTTGATGTGTAAAGGAGCTGTAAATGAACATTAGTGGGATCCACTCACTTGTTTTGGTGCTTTGAGCCCTGCAGATGTGCATGGTACTGTGCCACTGAGTTGAGTGTGACGCTGCAGACTTCACAGGAGTAGCTTCGCTTCAGACCTGGAATCAAACAGAATAGCGCACATTACAGGAACAAATCTGGGAACTGAACAAATGCTTTACTCCAGTGAATTTTTCAAAACTTGATTCAGTAATACAATTTTTGCTCTGCTGCACGTGGCCAATATGAATCAATCCATCACAGTGAGAAGGCATGTCTGCCTTCACGCAGACGGGTCTCAGTCCTGCAGCAGATGAGGATTCATGTGACTCTGCACGTTTGCCTTAACAAACTGGTGTTTGCTAAAGAAGACTCCCATAACTGCACTGAAGGAGAAGACTCTTTGTGCAGCAGTCATAGCTCTAAGATCTTTATAGTAAATCCATAGCACCTGAGACCTTGAGATGTCTGAATCATTTGGAATCTACAACATTTAATGAGTTGCCTATTTTTTTTTTTTCTAAATAGCGACAGCAATGTCCTTGGGGTGATAATGGCTGTATTGAATCAGCGCCCTGTTGCTGCAAATTATAAGCATCCTGTGTAATCGCCTTCATGTTGCACTAATCTTATTGTGGTGTGAAAAATGGCCGTCTTGATTTCCTCGCTCTCGCAATTGAGTTAGCTCCTCTATAAATATGCCTCAGAGCAAAAGGCCAAGAGAAAATAAATGCCACCCTGCACTCATTGAATCACATTTCCATATCCTCCTCAATCAAATTTCCTCACTGAATGATTGTTTGTTAAATTGCTGCGGTGAGGAAAGCGCTGCCGAAACTTTGAATGTCTTCTTGTTTTTCTGCTTTCAGGGTTGCGGAAGGTGAAAATCTGCAGTGGGCTTGGTCTCGGGTGTTGATGTCAGCTGTTTCCCTTCTACCATTTTGATGGAGGGCAATATTCCCCACAGAGAGCGGCAAATCCCTCCCTTTCACTTCCCCGCTGATAAGCTGTACAATAACCACTCTGTCAGCTGGTCGCCACCATGACTGAGATTTCAATTTTGCACCATCGTCCCCAGACGCAGTCATGAATCGACATTAAATTTCTGCAGCAGGCGGAGAAGCTCTGCCTTGCAGTGCCCCTTTGACAGCCTGCCTCTCAAACTATTTTTGAAAGGGTGAAAGATTATACTGTGACTTCGGTATCCATCATTGGCAGCCACCTGCGGCTCTTCCCACATGGCGCTATGGTGCATGAGCGATGAAGCATCAGAAGCTTTAGGCTTCTGCAATTCCTCCCCTTCATCAACTTTGCTTCCTACTTTCTGAGGCACTGGAGACTCGTTTGTTTTGGTTAACCTGTCCCTTTGCTGAGAAAAACGAGGGTGTGGGGAGCAGCCGATGAGTGGTTGCAGCAGAAGAAAAATGTGCTCTGCAGTCTCATTTGTTTGAGTTAACTTAGGAATTTGGTAACTGTTAAATAAAATAACAGGTTGTGGAGCTGATGCATGCAGAGAAAAAAAAAAACACAGACTGATGTCTTCGATCTTTATTCGATCTCACTGTATAAGAAGTATACCTCTAAAAAAGAAGTTGCCAGGAGGTAAACTACTAAACCCAAAAAGGTTAAAAAAAGATGTTTTAGTGGGTGTAATGAGATTCATATCAGCTGCCTATTTAGTTTTAACTTCAGGTCAAATATCCAAAAACATATTTAAGCTAAGAGGAGCTCAGCTCAGTTTTTAGTGTAAAAACAACTCATGCAGCATTTTAGCTGTAAAAACAGATGAAATGCATGCTGGTCTGTGAAAGCTATGAAGCTGAGAGATTTTTCTGGTATCAAGTAATTGTATGTCAAAAAATACCCACAGATACAAGCAAAGCCTTAGTAAAACTTTTTAAAAAGCAATTTATACAGAGCACACAACACCACAGATGTAACACGATGCTAGCATCAGGGTCTCAGGTTACTTCTCAAAGGAGAACACACAACATTTGCAGACATGCATGGGCCATTGACTTGTTTAGCTTGTCCAGTTACTTTCAAGCCTCTATGTATAAAAATGTGTATAATTCACAAACAGTTGATGCAATATTTTTGTCAATTCCACTGAAATAAAGCTGGGATTTTGTACTTTAATTACATTTTTATTTATTTTAAATCCTCTGTCATAGCGTACAGAGAGAAAACTACAAAAATAAAAGTGAGAAGACTATTTGTCCACAAACGTATAGACTAACCATATGTGCTTGCACCACTCAAACAGATTCTGAACCTGGGCAAGATCAATTTGTTTTGCAGTGAATCTTTTGCTTTCTCTTAGCTTATTGAGACCTATTGCCTGAAGCTTTGGAAGAGATACTGTTGGCAGTATGACTGATCAGCAGTGCAACATTCTTTGTCGATTGTTTATAAGCAAAGAAAAAGGTGGTACTGGTCCAGGATTCATGCTAAATTAACCAGCAAGCATCTGCCCCACTCAGATCTGGTAACTTTAGCTCATTCTCTCCCTCACTGTAGCATTCAGCCCAGGCTGAAAGAGCATACACTTAATCACTGTTTCTATGAAATCAATTGGGTGCTAAGTTGCAACAGTGAGATTTAGTATAATGAATTGCTTTGCAAAACTGACAGAATAAAATCATTACTCAAAAATGTTTTCATCCCACCGAAGCACTGACTGAAAGTTTCTTAAATTGGACGGTTCAAAAATGTGGGGTAAGAAGAGGCGTAATATCTTGAGGAGAACTCGTCCAATCTAGAGTTTTAAATTAGGGTTCAGCATTACACTTTGTTGAAAAGGACCTAGATCAGCTTGGTGTAATTTCCCCGTCTCTGAGCCTGTTGTTAACAGTATAATGGATCTATTTTAGGGTGGAGAATACAAGAGTGGAGAATACAACATACAGCTGAAAGCAACAGCTTGAGAACAGTGACTGCAAGCCTCTGTTGAAAAAGAGCTAAAAAGTGAGAGAATGAGGAGACCGCATGCTAAATTATATCTTCCAGAGAAGCATCCCTGATTAACAGCTGTGATAGTCTGACCCAACACAATTTGTCTGCTGGGTGTTGACAGGCTAGCTAGCCTGTGGTCTAAATTTAGTGGTTTCTGGTTGAGATTTGACAACATCAAAATACACTGAGAGGGACCATTAAGATGGCAAAGACAGAGACGGCCCTTACTTGATCTATGAGAACAAAACTGACAACAGGTTGCAGAAACACATTTATGAATGTTTTTTTGGTTTCATGGCCAGGTTGAAACAATTCTCATCTTGATCATTCATTACTTTTTTAAACGCAATTTTCTTTCTTATTTTCAAGCTTACTGTTATTACGAGTGGTATGCAATACTGAACACTAAGGAAGAGGAAAGGACTGTTTGTCTAGGTGAGGGGTCAGCAACCTTTAAGACCGCCACCCTGATATTGCCTTTGGGCTTTTGGAGCCTTGACCTGACTTTTAAAAAATAATTGGAAAAAAAGCACTATGCTGCTAAAAAATGAAAAATACATATTTGAAAAAAAAAAAAAGTGTTGTTTTCTTTTTTTTAAAGGATAAAGTATTGTATATGCAGATGAGAGGCCAAAAAATACATAAATGATCAATGACTTTGGAATAAGATGAATGCTGGAACATGCATTATGCAGGAGAAAAAGCTAGGACTGACTGTTTTTTTTCTCAAAAACTTTAAGTTACTATGAGTACAATAAATGGATTTTATTATTAAAAAAAAAAAAAAAAAAAAAAAAAAGAAAATTCTGCCTAAATATGTATTTTACCTGGTTAATGTGTGTGGCGGGGCGTGGTCTGCAGCGCCACTGTAGGGGAGGTGGACGCACCCGAGCGGCGCCCGCAATCACGCCTTGCCGCCTTAACGTCTGTGTGCTATCTATGCTGTTGTGTTGTTGTTGGTATGTGTTGGGTTGTGAGCTGAAAAGCTACAGCCGGCTGTGTGCGTACAGCAACCGTGTGAAAAGTGGTCAATAAAGAGATGCTGAAAAGCATGTTCATGGAAACATCGTCGGGTCTGCTGTGGTACGTTTACAATGGGACTTCTGCTCCTGAACTTTCATCTTTACGCAGGACTGTAAGCTGTCATCTGTGAGGCGTGAGGTGTTTGTTTTTAACATAGTTCACGGTGGAGAACAGCTGCTGACATAATGTGGATCCGAAGAACCATAATTGGCCTACCTGGGGTTGAAAGTCTCGATAAATGCACGGCGTTTCGGCGGTATACCGGCTTTCACGAGTGTGACGCTTATTTTGAGCGATGAAAAAAATAATAGAATATAATTTTAGAGAAGATGAATTAAAGTCAGTACAAGCAAGACAGAATATGTATGTGAAGGAGAAGAAGAAGGTGGAAAGGTGGATATGCAAACAATAGAGATAGTGAAGGTAGATACATTTAAACATCAACAGTCCAAAGCAGACAGAGAGAGAGAGAGAGAAAGAGAGGTTAGTGAGGTGAAGAAGAGAGTGCAAGCAGGGTGGAGTGGGTGAAGACAATTATCATAGAAGGATAGCTGCAAGAGTGAATGGGAAGGTTTACAAGATACTAGTGAAAGTTGGGTGTATGGTTTGTAGACTGTAGCACTACCAAAAAAGACAAAAGGTTGTGATGTTTGGCATGCACACTGAAGCAGCCAGAAATCGAACCACCAACCTCCGATTATTAGATGACCTGTTCTAGTTTTGCATGATTCACAGTCCAAATTAATCCTCATTTAGCTCATGCTGGTTCTGGTACAGCCCCTCACTTCTTTATTTGTCTGAAACAAGCTGCTTTTGTTCCCTTAACAGCAAATGCCTTCTTATTAAGTACTTTGAATCACATTGTTGTTGAATTGTGCTATACAAATAAACTTGCCTTGCCTTGCCTATTGGCTGCCCCTCAAAACAAAAGATTTTAAGAGTAAATGGGTGGAGCTCTTACTGTCACAGCTGCATACCTAAGATGACCTTGGAGAGGTTAAGCCCTTCTTCTGCCATTATACACACCCAAGAGTAGAAAAATGGCAAAGAACTGAGTTCTATTGGCTCAGAGCAAACACTTCTGTATACACTCAACAGCAGTAATAGAACAAACAATAAAACCAATCATATTAGGTCCTCT